TGTGGAGAAATTGTATGTTGGCCCTCCTCCCATGCCATGTTTTATCTGCGAGGTGGATTGGTCATGCTTCTTCGCGAGCAGCAGTAAATTTTCGTGCGACCTCCTCCTAGCCAGTGACGCGGTGGAAGGGATGCCCTTATTCGGAAGTAAGCCCCGGTCACTGACTAAGGGGAGAGGTAGTAAGGTTTTTCCGGCTGCGGGGAGGCAGAAAAACAGTCTTGATTGTAACCCCGTCCTGGACGCAGTTTTCCCGGTTTGCGTGGCCCACCCACCTCCAGACTCCACCATGCTACCTCTTTTGTAAGTACCTCTATATCCTTATTCTTATTGCTATGTAAAGCTTATTAAATAAACCCGCGAGGGCCTTGTTCTGATATTCGACGATCCCCAATCATTCGGAATCTTCCGAAACTCGGTCAAATGCAAGACTCCCAACTCGGCTCACAACAACAAAAGGCCACACTCGGCTACCGCCACACCTCGTACATTAGTCAACTTCATGATTTGACTTTTCCGTATTGTTCTTGTAAGCACGCTTTGAAACAAATACTTAGGCGGGGTTAGACAAGAGAAATAAGTTGGCTCCAGCTTGTGGATCGAATAGTGAAGATTCAGAATCAGATGAGAGTCTTCTTAGAATCGACTCCTGACAAGCTGGAGTCTAAATCATATCGAATCTTGACCGCAGTAATTTCGCAAATGCTGCCGTTCCGTCATAGAAATCGAGTCTGTTTCTTTCCCTCTTTGCACCGCCTGCGGGATCAGATCGGATGGAAAAAACTTTGGGAACCTATTCCGAAAGATATAACCATGTGAGCAGTTGCGAATGAGATATATGAATATTACCAAAAAAGATATTTGCTGTGAAGACGCAAAGAGAAAACGACAAAGAATCATCCTACAAAGAGTTAACGGCTAGAAGAAACACAAAGTCGACACTCAACGCAATAGGCTGAGATGGGAAGAAGGTTAAGTTGCTCTGTGGTTCGTTCAGGTCAAGGGAAGAACACCTAAAAGCGTCTTCCTCGAGTTTTCTTATAGATCATTGTCTGTTCGAGCCGGGTTCACCGTATAGAAATGCTCTTTGCCCGAAATGACTCAGTTCAAATAGAGGCCCCAACTCATGCGACAACCTCCACTCCTATTATCCGTGTCGTCCCGATAGTACTCTGTCCAAGAGTTGCTGATGGCGCAAAGGTTTCGACTGGGCGCAGCGCACTGGCCACTATCACCGTCCGGGTACCAGGAGAAGCACATCTTCACATTCTGGAGCCAGACCGGAGCGGAACTGGGTACTTCCAGCATCCACGACATTTGGCAACCGCCGCCTCGTCTGTCCGTGTCGTCGCGATAGTACGGGGTCCAGTCGTTGACCGGTGCACACAGGAGGCGATCAACGCCCGCCCCGCACTGACCACCGTCCCCGTCAGGGTACCATCGGAAGCAGACTCTGACCGAGTTGAACCAGTGGGGCTGGTGTGAGGACTGAATGCTCCAGCTCATTCTACATCCGCCGCCCCTGTTGTCGGAATCATCCCTATAAACACTTGTCATCTGACTGGGTTTGGCACAGAGCAACTGGGCTGCCCCACCTCCGCACTGCCCGCCGTTCCCGTCCGCATACCAACGATAGCAAAGTGTGGTTCCGTCCGTGAACCATGCCGGAATTTTGGTCTGTTCCGCAATTTCTTCATCGAGTTTCTCTACCTCTAGCTTGTTCAACGTACGCGTGCTTTGGAGAGTTTGGATTCTGGAGATGAGCGAGTCTAACACGTGAAAAGTGGTATAACGTGAACGCAGGGCATAGACGATCCTGGCCAGCTCTGTCAAGTATGCAAGCAGAAGGTGGTTGGTGACGGCCAGCTCCATAGAAGCTCTTTTGTTTGCATCTTGGATGAGACTGCTGATGGGCGCCAGCTCACCAGAGAAGAGCCAGGGATTTCCCGACACGGTCGGTTGCCAATCTTGGAGCGCACTATGGGAAAGCAAGTTCGTGTCCCCACCGTAGTACCTGGAGAAAATGTTATTCAGTTTTAATATGCTATGCTGATTTAGAGGTTCATATGTATTCGAGAAAATTCCTACTGTGATTCGTGCTCATATTTTGCACTGACAGATTTCAGGCGTCTGAAATCTAATTAAATCCAACAATCCCTTCGAAATAACATGTGCCTTGCATTTATCGGGGATCTGGCTAATCTTTGAAAGTATGGTATATTTCCTGATCCACATTCCTTTGACCTTCCCACATACTTCGTAGTTGAGAATAACAGTAATGCATCATGACCTCTGGATAGCTGATTTCTCATAAATATTCCGTGTTCTGGGAGAAACGTGGATAACACGACACAGCATAAATTACGACAGCTAATAGTTTTCTGGTCGAATTTTCGCCTCTTTTGAAAGTTGTTTGGTGGCACTGACCTGATGGCTTTTGTCGTCATTTGTTCAAATGTCTCGTCCACCTGGCTCATGGAGCCGCTTTGTAAGCCCTTGATCGAAAGAAATTTCAGAAAGGACGCTTGGGCCTGTGCTTTAACTTGTGCGTCTGTCTTCCCATTGAAATAATCCGTTCGAGTCTCCAAATGCATCTTAATGACACCTCCAAAGTTTCCGTGTTGGAAATAGTGCGTTCCGAAATATGCAATGAATTTCTCGTAAGCAGCAGGGTCTTGCGTGTAGTTTTCCGGCAGATAGTTCTCGACAAACATCTTGGGAAACCTCCCAAGAGTGAGCACCCACTCTGGCACAAAGTCTGCCCGTACGGCCGAGTCGAAGGAAGACACTTCCTCGAGGTAGTGGGACGTGTTAGTGATGGTGTTCTGCATGTGCTCGTAAGAACGACTGGCAGAGAACCCGAACTTCTTTAGGCTCAGCTCACCGCCCACTTCAAATGCCATGGAACCCTTGATCTCCTGGTAGGATTTGTAGATCCGCACGTTTGATGCGAGCCAGCCTCCCGGGATGTGTGTTACCTCCCATATTTGGTCCGGTAACTGGTACTCTGCCTAAAGAATTCAGTACTTTGTCAATATTTGCCATTCAGAGCAACAGCTGAAGTAAAAACAATGACCACGACATCGAGTATGAGTTGCAGCTTTGATTTTTGGGTCTAATGTTTTCACGTTGCATTCCTATCTTAACGTACTATATTTTAAAGGGGCACATTGAGACCTTCCATGCTGCAACTTCCATTTTGACATCATATGATCTGCCATAGGACGATGTTACGATTAGGCATTTAATGGGAGGCAAACTTTAAAGCTCCCAACTACATCCTACGCTGTTTGCCTACTTTTTCCAGGATGATTTTATGGCCTTGGTCGCAAGTGAAGTCGAAGAGTGGGCGCTTGAATCCATCCTGTCCCGCGAAGTCAAGAGGAGTCAAATCCAACTGGGTGATATCAACTCCTCTCGCCATCTTGCTCAGCCCGGGAACGGGAACATCGCAGCGCTTCGACGGCTGCCGTTGCACGATTGGGTTTGGGATGGACCTCGGAAGCATGGCGCTTTGCATGGACAGCTCTGCTTCTCCTTGTTCTGTTCTCCTTTGAAGGCAATGTCGTTATTGGCATAAAAAATTCCTACTGGCATTCCTATAGGACATCATAAAATGTTTCCCAGGGATATTAGTTTGCTAGCTCGTGACTTGCTGACAGTGAGAGTACGGTCTCTCAACCTTAAACCTTCGTTTACGAATTAAAAAAGTCGAAATGGTTTAATGGGTTTCTATTGTTTCTAAAGGTTTCTATGGTTTGGAAATGCTCAATTTTCATCTTATTCAACATTTTTCAGACGATGATTTCTGGACCCCACCTGTTGTAGCTAACGACGGTTTTTCATTTATTACCGAAAATTTTACAAATTTTATATTATGAATTTTTATTCTGGGAATTGAAGCTTCCCCTTCCAGCTGGTTACTGTTTATAGCAATCACAACAGAAATTGGGACGTCTATAACCCCCCGTCGCTTCGTGGGGAAAATTGGGATGGTTAGGTACTAGTATGCTGTCCCGTCATCCGGAAATGCTATTGTCATCGTCATGCAATTCATTTAGACTGCGGAGAAACCATTCCACTTGGAAGTAGACAGTTATATACCATAGGACTGTTTGAGGAAACTTTCGTCGCGACGACTTGTAATTAAGAGTGCCGTGAGTATCTGGGGTAGTACGAGGAAGAAAATCGCTGGGTCTGGGATTCCACATTTTATCAGTAAGTCTTACGGGGTCTCACAAAACCCAGAAAGCACTTTTTCATCTCCCAAGCACTTTCTCACCTCCCTATCACTTTCACTTAAGCCACAAGCCTTGCCAAAAATTTCCGCTAGATGTCAATCGATGAGCAATGTTTGAAGGTAGCATTGCACCCGAACCACTGGACGGATGTCCTTCAAACTTTCATTAATACAAAGACTGGAAAGTCCTCTAAAACTTGGAGTCGAGTTGACTGTCGAGATCATCACATTAAAGGTTAGGGGTATTTTTTACTTCAAGCTATGCATTTTCGTCAATTTTTTTCCCGTCGTCTTTTCAAAAAAGTGATACTTTTCAGAGAAAAGCATATATCAGATTTTGGAGAACAACCCTCTCCATCCCCACGGGAAATTTCATGAGAATTGATCTAGCCGCTTTTCTGGAAAGTACTCGTATATTCCCGAAAATGGGCACTTTTTCAGGGCGTTCTTCACTTCCTGGCTTTTTACTCCCGTTCAAGGGTGAAAATGCAAAAAAGAAAACCATTTTAAAGAAGAGATTCTTCCAGTGAATTGTGGTAAGAGTTACCATTGTCAGCACTTGGTACGTCGAGAAAACGTTTCAAACACAGCATCTCAGTTTGGATCAGAACCTGTTCGTCCCTAGGCACTCACTCCCCTCACGTGGGTCATTGCGCAAGCGCGTAGCCCTCACGCTGGTGATAACGAGCGGCGTGCATTGTTGTGTGGACGCGACCGTTAGACTCGCTTCGGAAGAGACCCATTTGAGGCTTGTACGAGGGTCGGTGCGAAAGTAATGCCTCCTATTTTTGGGTGGAAAAATGGCATATATGTCCCTGACTATATTTGGGGGGGGGGGGGGGGGGGGGGGGGGGTTTTCACATTCATTGACGTGGCCAGTGGTGATTAATAGAGGAAAGCATACTGTTGTGAGGCTCATGGCCGTGACGTTGCTAAAGCTGTCTCCCACTTCAGGAACCTGTTTTGTTGTCCGAACTACCTCAACAATGATGGACCGTGGAGGACTGCCTTGCTTCTCCCTCCCTTATCTCGAAAACCTTACAATTTAAGAGAAATTCTACATCTGTATCATTCACCTCTCTATCCACCAGACGCCGTCCTTCTCCCCCTACATCTACCTAGGAACAGCTTCTGATCCAAACTGAGTTGCAAAATGTTTGAATCGTCATTTTCTCGACGTACCATGAAATGACAACAGTAATAATAATACCTTATTCCCATTCACTAGGGAGAATCCCTTCTACGAAATGGTCTGATTCCTTTTTTGCATTTTCGCCCTTTAACAAGAGTTTAACGACAGGTAGTGAAAAGCGCAATGAAAAAGAGCCCATTTTCGGGGAAATCCGAGTACTTTCCAGAAAAACGGCTTGAACAATTCTCACAAAATTTCGCGAAGGAATGGAGATGGGTGTCTCCCAAAATCTGATCTTTGCCTTTCTCTGAAATGAATCTCTTTTCGAAACGACGGCGGAATACTGTTATTAATGAAAATCCAGAGCTCAAAGAAAAAAAATTTCCCTGACCTTTGACGTGACGATCTCGACAGTCAACTCGATTCCATGTTGTAGAGGATTTTCCAGGAGTTGTAATGATGAAAGTTTCAAGGAGATCTGTCCTGTGGTTCGGGTGCTATGCTGGCTTCAAACGTTGCTCTTCGATTGACATCTAGCGGAAACTTAGGGAAAGACTAGTGGCTTAAATGAAAGTGATTGGGAGGTGAGAAAGTGCTTTCTTTGTTTTGTTTTGTTTTGTGCGACACCCTAAATAATAATTACAGATCGAAGACACAGCGATTTTCGTTCATGTACCACCTATCTGAAGGAGAAAACAAAGAATGTGAAAATATTCCAAATCAATACAGTATTTATAGTTATTCCCTTAAAATGCGTCCAGCTACATCCACCTGACTAAACGACAAGGTGGGTAGGAGGATTTGGAACCAGGTGAACTTCTTAACAGGTGGTAATTCGCCATGTGGTAATTCGCAAACCTGCAATTCGAGTCAAACGTGTGCCCCAGGTTGATCTCAACCTGGTGGACATCCATCCAACAGTTGGATATAAACCTAAGGGACAAACCCCTGGTTCAAAATCCAATTATCTGGTGAACGTTTTGTAAGGATTCATACAGTTTGCCCAAAGTGGTGCTCAAGCAAGAACTGCGGACTCACCGAGGAAAGTTGGGAAGTTCATTCGGGATTTGCCGGTTAATAAGGACCATATTAAGGAGGGGAGAGTGAGGGATGATCTCGTCCTTCAGCATCTTTCTTTCGTCCATCACTTGACTCTCACCGGGTCGAATCGACTGGTCTTCTCCATTACCCATCGTGCCCTTAATCGTTTCATGAAGGTTTTATTATTTCATTACTTTTTCACAGTTATCGGCGTCTAAAGGCCTTCACATTCATTGACGTGGCCAGTGGTGATTAATAGAGGAAAGCATACTGTTGTGAGGCTCATGGCCGTGACGTTGCTAAAGCTGTCTCCCACTTCAGGAACCTGTTTTGTTGTCCGAACTACCTCATCAAAATGGTCCGCGTCCGTGGTCATCCCTTCCACTTCCATAAACTTCGGGAAAAAATTTCTCGGTACTCTCTCATCAGAGCGTGATGCATGAAAAGAACAGTCGATAATAGACTTACTAGGAGCAGTGAGAAGCAGTGAAGAATGACCAGAAAAGACTTCATGCCGAATTCACTTTTTCCTACTGGGATTTAGACCATATAGTGAATTCTTGAGAATGCTCAGTTTTAATCTTACTCAACACTTACCGGATACGATATCGTATAAGCATTGGAGACGGGAAGCAGAATCTGGTTCGACAGTAAACAGTTGACGAATCTCAGTTAAGAGACTTTTAATAATTCAAGACTTTTACCCTCTTAGCCAGTGGCTTATACATGTTTGCGCAATTGGTTTTACAGTTCCCATCGATTGATTTGGCTTTGTTAAGGCTATTGAATTTATGCAGTGCTGAAAAGAGAGTGAGGTTCCGGTAGTCCGTAGCAAAGGTTGTGTTGCACCGATGAGTAGCCACAGGTAGTGTAAAATAAATAATCGAACGAAATTTCCCCCTCTTATATCTTTCTAAACGTTGAAGTTATGTGCATTTAATTCCACTTGAAGCGGAGTGACTCATTTCTCATTTCATTTTGGTAGCGCCTTTCTTCCACCCTTTCCCGTAATAATATTCAACCTCCTGGTATTCCTCTTTAAAAGCATGAACAGGAACGAAATCGGACATGTTTCTTCCTCTCTCAATACAGAATAACTCATTAAGGCATAAGGCATTGAGGGTAATATGAAGTGGTGTAGCGACGGGGGGGGACTAGGGGGCTTCAGCCCCCCCAAGTTTGGTTCAAGTCCCCCAATTCTGGTCGTCCCCCCCCCCCCCCCCCCAACGTTTTGCTTAGCCCCCCCCATTGACGGAAACCTGGCTACGCCACTGGTAATATGGCCACTTCTCGAAAAACAACCCAAGGTTTGCAAGATACGTGTGAAATATACTCGAACATACTAAGTAACGTGAAACACAACAAAAGATGCTAAGCAGTTGAAAACTACATTAACTGCTTTGAGGAAAAGCAAAGTAGTTGGCACCGTCATGAACAAACGAACATTATGAACACTTCAGGAGCTGCTACGAAAGGCAGGTCTGAAACGCTTTTGACCATGAGTAGCAGTGTATTTGCTTGGGAGACGGTACCTGGAGACTGCGGGAGCAAGAGGAGTGAGTATCTAGAGGTCGAAGCGAACATGCGCGACGAATGTGAACAAAGAGGTCCGATGGCACAGGGAGAACGTTGTGCAGTTTTTGCGTGCACACACAGTATTAAAATCAGAGGATGACATTTTAGCCTTTTGCACGAAGAATACTCGTATTTACCGCCACTCAAATACCTTGTCAGGAAAAATGTCTGGAGTGCGTCCAGTGGACGCCCAGAAGGCGTTGCATGAGGCCACGCGCTACGCATATCATGAAGATGTTCAGTGTATCTCAGGACATCCGCAGTGGATATCGAGCGGATGCGCATAGGATGTTTCCTGGCTGCCTGAGACCCCACATAAAAGGACTCTAACACTGCCGATAGGTCGATGCATTGCTTCCATGAAATCGAGGCGGTGTCCATATTACCCCTACTCGAGATGGCCATATTTCCCCCATGTCGGCTTCGATGACAGATCGCCGTACGGGAGGCCAGAGCCAGGTGGCCTCCTCTGGCTCGTGGACAATCCATAGGGGTATCCCGCAGCACTAGCAATACGAGAGAAGGGTCTCTCCGGCCTCTCCGTCGGCATTGCGCATGAGCGAATGCCTGCTAGCAAGAGCTTGCATGTTATTTGGGCTCCTTTGTCTCGAATAGAAAGATTTTCGGTAATCCAAATTCGCATGGCCAATTTATATCTACGCAGTTGTATGAAAAAGACACAAGATATACATAACATAATGAAGAGACGAGGGCGCATGTAGAAGCCAGCGATACGATATATCTTTACGACTCCCTACGTTTCGGTGAAACACCTTTTCAAGGGGAACAGGAGAATATCACATTATTTGGACAGGTTAAGGAATCACTTCAGGGTGAAAAGAATGGATAGGAAGATATAAATCAGATGTCTTCGTTCAATCATAACATCATCACATTCACCTGGTGTGCTAGTCGCGATTTTGTTTAGAAGTTGTGAAACGGATTCGCCTCTCTCTCACTCAAGTATTCGATGAAAGGTTTCAATTTCCATCGATGGGCGCGGCCTTTCTTCAAGCCCTTCCGTCAAAATTCAACCGTCTCGTATTCCTCTCAGTGAGAATCAACAGGAACGGAATTTGGCATCGAAGCCGACATGGGGGAAATATGGCCATCTCGAGTAGGGGTAATATGGACACCGCCTCGATTTCATGGAAGCAATGCATCGACCTATCGGCAGTGTTAGAGTCCTTTTATGTGGGGTCTCAGGCAGCCAGGAAACATCCTATGCGCATCC